GAAGGATTTAGCCTAAACTTTCCAAGATGCGCAAACCGTGGGTAAGTCTTTTAAGCCCTTCAGCATCTCAGGGTTTTTGTTGATTTCCATTGCTCCTGAATCTGAGCGTTTGAGTATCACTATCTCGTAAACTGAGGATCTTGTCAGTGTGATAGTTGTCTTGGTAGACGCATGTCTACCACATTACCTACTTTTACCTACCATATTTTGGTGCGTTGATATGCAAATTTTTGCGCTCCTACGCTGTGGCCGCGTGTGGTAGGCGCGGTGGCCTGATGGCTGGAGGGCTCGTCTCCGAATCGAGCGGTCCGGGTTCGAGCACGACCCGGGGGCATTGTGTTGTGTTCTTAGGCAAGGCACTTTACTCTCACAGTGCCTCTCTCCACCGAGGTGTATAAATGGGTACCGGGGTAACCCTGGGGGTAACCCTGTGATGGACTAGCGTCCCATCCAGAGGGGAGTAGAAATACTCCTAGCGCTTCATGCTACAGAAACCGCGATAAGCAAACAAACAAACATACATACATACATACATACATACATACATTTTATTGTGTTTTAAAATTAAAAGTACAATTATAACATGCCCGCGGGTAGCTGAGCTAATCTAAGCTCCGGCCTGATGGGCCATTTGGCTCGTATACAGACTTAACCTACTTTGTGGAGTAGGAAATCTGAAGACTGTTATTTACCTGCATGACGGACCACCCTCTATGTAAAAATCCTTAAATGTAATGTTCATGTCCATATCACGTGGAATAGGAATCACATAGAAACAGTCTGTGTTGTTTGGATAGTCGTTTGGATATCCAGGGCTTTTTAGTGTGTTGTCAACTACTTTGCCACAAACTGTAAAAGGAAAACTCATTTTAAAATCTGACTCGCGCAGTTAAAGAATACAAACGGTACAGGACACTGAATCGCCCGAGCACAGCGGTTCACTCTACTCAACAAAGCCAAAAACAACAACAACAACAACAACAACAACAATAAAGAACGTTAACTAAAACAGTTATTTGTAACATGCAGACAAGAAAAAGGACAAAAGAAAAATTATAATATCACTCGAAACCTTTAAATTGGGAAGTAACTGCCCAGAATGCCGTCAATAGAAAGCTCTCTGTTCTAGTTTCCGTCGGTATTATGTTGCCAAATTTCACTAAATGTACAAATAAATTGGACAAAAAAGAGTCAAAAACTACGTAAAATGAAACATTCAACGAATTTTGGGAAGTGGATTATAGTTCCTAAAATTCCATTTTATGACAATGTCAAGAAGTTGCTATGATTATGGTCAAATTGGAAATCATTATCATTATCTTTTTCAGTCATTAATCTTTTTCTTTTCAGTTGATATTTCTTTGCATTTACCACTTTTGGCATATATTTCTTTCTATTGCAGGATAACACCGCCAATTTGTAGCAAGTTCTTGGCCATAGTTTTTCAAAACTCGACCGTATCATTTGGGGGAACACGGTTACCTTAAACGCACTTGTAAAGATAATGGAGGAAATGTTTGAAAATATTTTCTACGAAATAAGGAAAGCAAAAATAAAATGTATTTCACTTACCTTGGGTATTCGCTTGGCTTGACATAAAGATCCGTGTACACAGCCACAAGATACCGAGAATGACTGGGAACATTTTGTTCTTCTGGGCAGTGCCGTTGAAATTAGCTGAAACAAGATTGATGTTAAATTCACTTGATAATTAAGTTATTTTTAGTTCGTATTTTTAGTTCGTACAAACCATTTACTGTGTTAAGTTATTTTTGTTTATCAGTACATAAATTAGTGCGCCTCATGACTGAGATATTAATGCAAATAACAAAGGAATTCATTAATTCTATAACATCTGTGATGGCTGGCGGCGTTGTTTGTGGGTTTCTCCTCTGAACACGCGAACTTAGTGTTCTGAACCTCTTTTAATAGAGTCATAATAATTCTCATCATTTCTTCAACAAGCGATTGTGATCTAGAAATCACGCATTATTTGCCCTTCGGTTGATATATAGGAGGGTGAAATAAGCCAACTTGAGTGACACCATAAAAAAATTGATACATAAAGCAGACTGAACATAATTGCCTACGACTCACATATCAATTGCCATAGATTTCAAAAATTAAATACTAAAGAAATAACGATATAGCAGAAATATCAAGTTAACAACGTGTAAAGCCATATTGCTTTATGAATTAGGTCTGAAAAAGAATTTTATCCATCTGTTATCGACCAAAAACAAGAAGTTGTAAACTTTAACCAAACTGACAGTGTTATAACTAATTTTATTTTTTATCTGAGTTTGAAAGTTTGTAGCTGATAAGTTTTGCTACTTTGTTCTTTTGTACTCATGCCTTCGTTCTTACAACATGTGATGAGGGTAACTAAAGGTTTTTGTCCACCTCAAAATTATTACCCGCGGAAATTTTTTCCGCTTTTTGATAATGAAAGAATATTAATTACGACTATGCACTTTTTGGCTTCCTGTGTGAGTGCCATTAGCCTAAACAGGCGGGCGAATATCTCAGCTCTGGTCCTTCAATCTTTCCCACACACACGTCATGGTCACTCGACGAAAAATTTGTTTCAACAAATCACATTTTTCTTTATGATAGACACTTGCGGTTTTATTTTTTAAATTTTAATGAAAGGCCTTTGAATGGGAATCGAGTTTAGTCCTGCTACTATTCCGCCATTTTTTGCTTTTTCTTTTAAGGAACATGTAAGTACCTTAATCTTTATAAAATATTGTGTTCTACTGTACGTACGTAGCGTAACAATGACTCGACTTGAACAAAGGAGATTTTTTTCCCTTANGTCACAGACAAGCCACAAGAAATAGGTTTATAACGGTACGTATAAAAGCTTAAGTAAGCACACAAACCTGCCACGAGAAAATATTGTAAATTACACAGTCTGCCAGGTAAAAATCGTGCAAACCATCTCTTGATCCACTGACTTTTTACGACCCCACATGATTGTTTAGATTTATAAATTCCCTTTCGTAAGTATTTAATGCCGTCTCCAGTGAGAAAAGTTGCATAACTACAATGCCTTTCATGTTAACTCACATTTGATGTCAGGACAGGAAAGTTTTTCCTGCCTCCTGCTGAATCCTGATTGGTTACCGTTTTTTCAGCTGCGTCACTGAGTATTTTAGTAGTAGGTAAGTGCAGCGAGTGTCATTTTTAGAGCTGACATAAAACAAATTTGTGGGAGTCACTTGACAGGTTCATTTACATGATGTCACAGTCACATGTGATTTCTTATTTATTTGATGTAACGAAATGTCAAGGCAACATTGCAAGTTTCACGCCAATATTCTTTTACGGGGGTCAGTGATCGAGAAAAGCAAAAGGAACTTTGTGCTTGTCAGGTTTATGAAAATTGGTGACACGTTTTTGGGACTGATTTTGAATTGTTCTTTTTGATGTAATTTTAAGTGTCATTGTCAGAAAAAATCGGGCAGGACCAAAAGAACGCGAGGTCGGCCGTTTTTCACAGTATAAAAGCTATCCGAAGAGATTAACAACCATGACATTTGCCGAGGT